CACAACAACAGTCGCCCCAAGGCGCTTTATATTGTAAGGTAGCCCCTACAATAATACATACAGAGAAAAACACAACAATCATATGACCCTCTATGAGCAAGCACTTTGGCGACAGTGGGAAGGAAAAACTCCCTTTTAACAGGAAGAATCCTCCGGCAGAATCAGGCTCAGGGAGGGGTGGTGGTCTACTGCGACTGGTTGGGGTGAGAGAAGGAAGACAGGATAAAAGACATGCTGTGGACGAGTCATTTCCCTTCAGACAGCACCATATAGTTATGATAAGTTATAGTCCAATTTGGATGGAAAACTGTAATAAGGTTCTTTATCAACCCTTGCCAAAAGACTCATTATGACGGGAATCCCCCTGTATGTTGGAGAAAATGTGGACACCAACGAGCACACCACGCTCACATAATGTGGGACTGCCCTTTGATCAAGACTTACTGGAAAGACATTCACGAAACACTACAAGAAATTTTCAACTGTACATTCCCTTTTGGAATGAAAACAATTTTTTTTTTAATGTACACCACAGGAATGGTCTAAAAAAGAGAAATGTTTACTAAGTGCCTCGATAGTTGCAAGTAAGGAATGTATAACAAAGAAATGGCTATTACAACCCATATGGAAAAGATATATATAAATCTTATAAAGTTTGTATCTGTCTTGTATGAAACTTGTATGAAAAGCATACAAGAGTGAAAACACATATAAGATCCCTTGAAAAATTATATAATGAAACTTGTATGTTTTGTATACTTACTAAAAAAATATATGAAAGTAATGAGAAAGTGGCCACTTTCATGAGTAAATCATATATGTTTTTACTATTTCTTTTCCATATGGGAAGATGTACCAACTTTATCATTGTGGTGGGAAATAACACTTGAGATTTGTAGGATGGAGGAGTTAACAGCATATGTGAATAACAGAGTAAGTTGGTTTTTGTCGTGCTGGGATAAGTGGGTCCAATACACTAATATACATAAGCAGAATTTAATTCTCAAATTTTAAAATCAATAATCTGGCAACTGGTCACTCCCGATTGTTCAGTGTTTCTCTTTTGTTTTTGGGGGGGGTTTTTGCAAATTGTGTTAATCAATACCTGTAACTAACATTGTAAACTGTAAAACTCAGAAATAATTAAAAAAAAAGATAAGTTATAGTCCCCTTTAGATTCAAAACGGATTGTGCAACATAGTAGCCTGTATGTGATTAACAGGTTGCAACTGTCTTTGATATTGTCTCTTGTGTCCCTGAGTTTCTTTGTTCACAATGGGTTTCAAAATTCCATTAATACTAACTAACTGGCCCGACTCAAAGATTTGGTACGTTTTTGATGATTATGCTTGTGCTGATAAGAATTATCAGCCATGTTAAGTGGAAAAGTGTATATCTTTTAGTCCTGTGGTAAATCAACACATCAACACTTTGCCTGTTGATGCAAATAGCAGTAAATTGCCTTTCGCAAACTTTAGCAAACTTCTTTGTATGTTTTTTTGAAATGACCAAATTCTGCATTCTAAATGTGAAAGTCGTACAAATACGTTTGCAGTAATTAGTATGCTGACTGGCACTTAAATGGTGCTTTTCTGATGAGAAAGCAAAGTGCTTCTATACTTTTCACTTTCTTGTATCTTAATTACAATAGTTTTTGTTTGTTTTTTTAATTATTCTTAGTAAATTAAGCAATTAATCTGGCCATGGATGTTTTTTTTACCACCTCCAGCTTGAGGTAGTCCACCTATACTTGAAAAAACGCTGTAGCATTGCTGGGTAAAAGTTTGTCTGAAGCTATTTTGATCTAAAGAATTCTCTTGGGTGATTGGGTGTAAAATAACAAATAACTCTCTAAGTGTTCTGGCATTTGAATGAAATGATAAAAATATGCTTAACCTCTTACAACCAAAATAAATAACAAAAAGAAAAGAGAAGAAACAAAAAAGTTAAGTACTTTTAAGGGTGTGGAAACCCCTTAAAAGGATAAAGATCCCTGTCCTTGTGCCAAAATTAGGATAGAAGTAATGTTTAAACAGCTACCCTGGTTTATTCCAAACACAAATCAAATGAACAAAGTTGGGCCAAATCTGAACTCTTTTCAAACATTTTGATTGTAATGATGAGCAAAAAAACATGTGAGATCTGCAGCTGCTACAAATCCTACAACATCCTTCAGTTTAAATATTGACTGTGTAAGAAGTGTGATGAAACTGACTGGTTCAGTAAACATTTCAAAATATGCTGAGCTCCTCTGATTAAAGTTCATGTTTGTCTTGTGGTCGCTTCTATTTATTTATCATTTATTTCCTATCTTGTTTGTCACTGTCTGTCTAACCCACTGACATATGTTAACCAATCCACTCTATATAACAGCCCCATAATAGTGGCCTGCTCCAGTCTTCTCCGCGGTACCATGAGGACGTTAGGAGTCCTGACACTTCTTTCGGCAGCAGTCCTGCTTTGCAGCGCTGCCCCAGGTTTGGAACCACTAACATGCAGAAAAGTTAACAGTTCGGTGGCAGCAGATAAGGCAGTGCATCACATCAATGAGTATCACGACCATGGCTACAAGTTCAGACTGCATGAAGTTCAAGGGAACAGTGTGGAACAGGTATGATAGTAGCAGTAAATGTGCACATTTGCAGTTCACATTTGAGTATTTCCACTTTGGCAAGAGGAGCAAAGAGATAATAAACAACAAGCGGGACAAAACTTAAACAATAGAAGAGAGTAGAAAAAACAGTAGCATTTCTATAAAAGCATGGTGAGTGACAAATCCAAGTCCACAATTCTTTTGAAATGTTTTTTCTTTTTTTTTAATTATTATTAATGTTTATTGTAGTTTTACATTACATCAGCTTTTCATGACAAAAAATCCTTAAAGTCTGTCATGGCGTTACTGTGGTGATATCGGAAACTGCATCAGTAAATGACAGTCTTACTCTCTGCTCTTTCCAGGTTGATGGTGGATGTAATGTAAAGTTGCAGCTGGATCTTCGGGAGACAAAATGCCACACTATCAACCCGAAACCCTTTGAGGACTGTGAAATACGTAGCGAGTTAGCGCGGGTAAATGCAAAGCAGTTGTTTGCTTAATCCACCTGCCTGCACTGACTTCATGTAACATTCACCTCTGGTCAGAAGGTGGACGTGCTAATCTGGCCAAATTATGCAAAGTTACTTCAGTGATGTTATGAAATAAAGCTGTATTCTCTGTTTCTCTGAAGGCAGTGAAGGCCAACTGCACTGTGTTGATGACTATAAAAGATGGTGATGCCAACATAACCAAATATGAATGTGACACACGACAAGGTGGGCTCTCTCTGCATCATAGCTGTTCACCATTTCACTGAGAAGATGCTACTGTAGATAC